GGGGTATAATTCCTTCATCAAAGCACATGTGTACATCCCCAGCCCGCTGTCTCTGCAGCTAAAGGGGTAGCGGTTGAAGGAGGTTTTACTATGAACGAGCCTTTAAGTGTTGTCAAGGAATTAAAATAGAAACAAAACTTATTATTCTTTTTTTCTTTTTTTTTCGTTTTTTTTTTGTTTTTTTCTTTCTTGTCAGGTTGCTTTAATTGATATATGCAGATTGAAGCTCATCCCTTTGATCTGCATATGAAAGAAAGTAGATACAAAAGCAGCAATGTAAAGCGGTGTGACTATCCGCTGGTTCAGCAGGACATTCAGACCGTATGTACAGCTGACTTTCTGACAGAAGCCGGTCTAAGGACCAACTTTTGTCGAAGAGACATGCTGAAAAACCAGCATTTGATCAGTGCCTGCAGCCAATGGCTGCGAGCGCTGTTTGATGTGTTTGGGGTGGGGCTGTCAAAACACAGAGACATAGACCACTGTAAAAATGTTTAAAATGCACATCTTTTTGCACGTAAAATGTGCATTTATTATATATATATATATATATATATATATATATATAATATTTTATTTATGTTTTTTTACTGTGCAGCGTGTAAAGCATTGCACCCGCGATCAGTAGATTGCTGGTGCAATGTCAGGATCCTGAAGACTTTGTCAGCTGTCTGCCTGTACCTCCTGTACAGGCAGACAGTTGTTGAAGTCTAAGAAGAATCAATGAACTACAAAAGTGCTCACCAGACAGAGGTATGGGCAAAGATCTTTAGGCACTGCACAGACATGCAGTGCTCTGCAGGTTCCCGTGAAAAGAACACGGTCCAAATATTGGCTGGTTCAGCAGGACATTCGGATCGTGTACAGCTGTCCTTCCAACAGAAGCCGGTATAAAGACCTACTTTTGAATCCAATCGGTGCTCTCAGCCAGTGGCTGCAAGCGTTGTTTGGTGTGTTCGGGGGGAGGAGGGGGGATGGGCCTATCAGAACATAGAGACAGCGGCAGAGATCACCGTACTAACATTGCTTGCGATCTCTCTCTGAAGCAGCGTGAAAGCAGTCCTACAAAAAAGAGCTGCATATGTATGCCAGGCTTTACTTTCTTTCTCACCCTTGAACAGTGCTTGGCTTATAAACATTGTCATACAGTCCATTTTTCTGGCAGCTGCTGTATACCACAACTCCCGGCTGCCATTTTGACTGTTGGGAGTTGCCAGCAAATGCAAAGAGTGGAGTGGCAGAGGGGCGGGACATGCCATGTGTACTGTGATGAAATATTTGTAGGTGTGTATCGCACACCCAGTGTTCACAATTGGTTAATTTTGCTATTGTGTTCATTGTATACGTGGCAATTATGAACTACCAGTCTGCAGCATTTAGATGTACAGAAGACAGGAATGTGACTCCTGAACAGCGTGGGTGGGGGAACCTTCCATCCTGTATTTGGACATCCACAGAACAATCGGCTGTCTGAATACCTGACCACTGGCTGCATCTGATTGGATACAGTTGCTGTTTGACTGACAGTTTTCTACCAAGTTCTTCAATTTTTCAAAGTTGAGTCAGTTGGTGCCTACAGTGCCACCCATGGCTTGGACGATTGATCAGTGTGTGGCCAGCATTAGTGCAAATTGGGTTTATTCTTGTAGTTGTCAGGTTGCTAAATATACTGTCAGAATTCAGGAATACATTAAAATCCTTTAGAATAGATCTTAAGAAATGAGAAAAGTTTGTGAATTAAACAGCCCCATCATCCAGTTGATGTGTTCCCATTTATGTAAGGCAAGCAGCATGTTGACGGCTGTCTTTTGCTGGATGTCAGTGATGACTATTAGAATACACTGATCTCTCTAGCTGTCAGTGTACACAGAAGGCAAGCAGCATGTTGACGACTGTCTTGCTGGATGTCACTGATGGCTATGAGAATACACTGATCTCTCTAGCTTCAGTGTACACAGAAGGCAAGCAGCATGTTGACGACTGTCTTGCTGGATGTCACTGATGGCTTTGGGAATACACTGATCTCTCTAGCTGTCAGTGTACACAGATGATGCTCAGCCTGTGAGTGATTTGGCTTGTTAGAAAGGGAAAATGCCTGAGGCTTGTTTTATGGATACCATATGACTCATACAATGTTTCTGTGTATAAAGTGTCACATGTACTACTTGCTTGCTGTGTTTGATGGAATTGTTGGGCCTCTTGTTTGTTTCTGTATGTTTCCCTGGTAATCTGCATAGAGGAATGGTGAGGCTGTTAAGAGGTGCGCAAGTAACAGACTCTTAGTCATTGTTATTTTCCTTTCTTTCATATTTTAGGCTTTTATGGATCTTTTTTCTTTCCCTTTTTTAAATTGAAACCGATTATTAATACCCATATTCAAACAAAACTGATATTTCACTTCTTGGTAGCTGCCTTTTTTGCCTTGCAGAGGATCTCTAGATATGTAAAATGAAAAGATGAAGTGGCATTTGGAGTGAATAGTCAGGGTCTATGGCAAGGAGAACCTACCAGCAGGGTTCCTGAGAGACCTAAAAATTTGCTTAGGATACAGCTAGGTCGCAACTACCAGAAATGGATGTAAACATTTAGGCTGGACTATGAAAGAGGAACTCTGATATTGTAATATATCTGAAATGGATTAAGGCTTTACACTTCTATCTTCCCATAGAGATTTTCCACTGCAATGTTCAGACCACCCACTTGTTGGGGTAACTCTCTGCAGACGTCTGTTGGGCTGGTGGCTAATATTCACCAGTTGCATAGTGGAACTCAAACTTTCAATGGGGAGTGGGGGGTTACAGTGGTAGGTGGAAAGCACACTATCACACTCAGTTTGATTCGGGGTTCTGGTGGTCTTTTAGGTTTTCTGACCTATCCAAAGGGGGTCAGAGAGGAGAATGGTAGCTGATTTCTAAGTTGTCCCATTGCTATTGTACCAAGATCTGTTGGCCAGGGATGCCTGCTGCTGTCCTGATCCAGTAGAGTGAAGACAATCATTTTTGCTGCTAACTGTAGCGACTCTAAAGAAACAAGGTAACTGCCTAATTTATAACTAGTTTTTAGAGAAGGTGCACATGGAGGGCACTGCACAAAGCAAACAGAACAATCTTTTCATGAACACTTACAGATAGTCAGCAAAATAAATAAATAAAATACTCCATCTAACAATTGGAATTAAAAATAGCGGTTTTGGTTGCACTGCATATGCCAATACACGTGGAAGCTGCACTGCCTTGTCAAGGCTCCTCTGTATAGTGCTGTCCTAATTCTAGTCTGAGAGCCTCCATGTTGGAGCGTATCCTGTACAGCAATAGATAAATTAAGCGTAGGTATGCCTTGGACACACCAGGAGCCCAACACAGCAACTAAAGCAAATTTGATAGCGGAAGAAAAATGTATCCCTTCAAATCCTATGGCACTCTTCACACCGATGTGCTGTGGGTGTGGTGTATTTTTAAAAGTTCTGCATGCTGCATCTTTGGTGTCCTTTTCAAAAGCACACCAATAATGGTTCTCCCATTGAATTCTATAGAAAACGCACCAAAAACCTATCAAAAATGCACCCGTGGCGCATTTTTGGTGTGTTTGTTTTTACTTGTCCAAGTTTCAGAGGTATGCGTTATTTTAATGAAGCAGCGTGAAAGCAGTCCTACTTGAAAAGCTAGTTATATATTGGGGCGGGGACACATTGGATGCCTTAAGCTGCTATTGATCTGTACTGGGCATCTGGTGTGTTCCTGAGTCTTTATGGAGGAATGGGCTCTCTCCAGGCAGGCATGCACTTAATTTATCCATTGCTATATGTGATCCAACATGGAGGCTCTCATAGACTGTTAGGACCGTACTATATAGAGGGGCTTTGCAATAAATCTTGCCATTAATATAACGTATGACATCTTCCTTTTGATTTCAGTTTGCAGTAGCTCATGTCTAATTTAATAAAAGACCATCACCCCAGCTCAGTGGTGGGCAACCTTTTTTTTCAACTGAGCCAAATCTCGCCAAAACCACGATTGAAATTTTATTTTGAGAGCCACATTTTTAAAACTGAAAATACATAGGATGGTACACTGTTTTTAGTTTCAATAAGTTTTTATAGTAATTCATCCCCCATATAGTAATCCCCCATATAGTAATTCATCCCCCATATAGTAATTCATCCCCCATATAGTAATTCATCCCCCATATAGTAATTCATCCCCCATATAGTAATTCATCCCCCATAGTAATTCATCCCCCTATAGTAATTCATCCCCATATAGTAATTCATCCCCCATATAGTAATACATCCCCCATATAGTAATCATCATCCCCCCTATAGTAATTCATCCCCCCCTATAGTAATTCATCCCCCCCTATAGTAATTCATCCCCCATAGTAATTCATCCCCCCTATAGTAATTCATCCCCATATAGTAAATTCATCCCCCATATAGTAATACATCCCCCATATAGTAATTCATCCCCCCCATATAGTAATTCATCCCCCATATAGTAATTCATCCCCCCCTATAGTAATTCATCCCCCATATTAATTCATCCCTCATATAGTAGTAGTAAGTAAGTAGCAAGTAGTAAGCCAAGTCCCCCCCGTGTCAATTCACTTACCTTTGCTCCGCGCGTTCCTCTCGCCGTGTTCCCGCGCCGTTCCGGTCTTCAGGGCGGACTGTGAGAGGAGCCTAGCTCCTCTCACATTCGTCACGCTGCCCCGTCTACACACATCCTGACAGCCAATCACTGGCTATCAGGATGTGAGTGGCAGCGAGACTGGCCAATCATTGCATTTGAGCGCGCTGCCCTGGCTGTTTTTTTTTTTGGATCACGCTGCAGAGTCCCTGCCGCCCAAGAGGAGGGAGGGGGGAGCGGGCGCCCGGCACACAAGAGCCGCATTAAAGCGTGTAAAGAGCCGCATGTGGCTCGCGAGCGGCGGCTTGCCGACCACTGCCCCAGCTATATGTGAGGATACGATAGACTGTTTTGATCACTAATTTTGTTTTTTATTCCAGGAGTGGATGCTGAAGAATGGGGTAAATTCCTACATACAAAGAACAAGGTACGCTGATGTTACGCATCCCCCCCATCCACAGGGGGGTTTCCATTTAATTCTGTGTAGTTACAGCACAGGAAGTGAGGGGATATAAGAAAGTTTAGGTAGACTTTTTAGCTTTAAAAGCATCTTTTTGGAACCTTGAATTCTAAAGTCGTTTACTTGCCCTTGAATTACACCTTAATCAACTTTGTTACATTTTAATGTAGAATGGTGTAAATTATGGGTGACATGACTGGCAAGAAAAACAGGAAAGTTTTTGTAAATAATGGTCTTCAGTTCAAACTGTCACACAATACACATATAATGGAAAAATTAGTGTCAGTAGTACAGCTGCAGGGTTTACCAAGGATCAGGAATCAAAACTCATTTCTCCCACAGCATCCCCTATTGGTGAAATCTGGTGTTACATAGTCATATAGCTATGGTGGGTCTATATGAGAAGCACTGAATTTGCAGGCCAGTGGTGTCTTCCTACTGTATCTAAAACACCAAACGAATACGTTTTCCGTTTAAATTGCAGATTCCGTAAGGACAGTCTTTCTCTTTGTGGCCACTGTTTATAAAACACTCTGCTGAAATTTGAAACACCGGCACCTGTGTCTCTCTGTTGATAGATAGATATAGATATATATATATATATAGATATAGATATATATATATATATATATATATATATATTCTCTCTCTATTTTTTTTTTTGTGGCAAATGTTCTTATTTACTGTCGTAGCGTTCTGCTTTTTTGACTTGGTCGTAAAAACTGCTTAAGACGTGCAGTGACCTTCTGCTACCAAATACCAACTTTTTTTCTTTTTTATAGAACTCTTCAAATACTAGTTATTTGCTTCTTAGAGCACCACTCATTTGTTTTGTGTGTGCTATGTACTTTGAATTTTATCTGTAATGTGGAATTTATGTCCACTCTCTTTTCAGATATACACAGACTTTGATGAAATCCGACAAGAAATCGAGAATGAAACTGAAAGAATTTCTGGCAACAACAAAGTAAGATTAGTGTTATTACAATGCAGCTGGAGCACTAAATTGCTGTGACTTTACAGGCAGATATTTAGGACTCACCTTTTCTGTCATTTACATGTCAGGCTAATTTATTTTGCTTTTTACCATCTGAAGCAAGACTATAGATTTTCTGTGATATGAGGAAGATAAAGCAGGTCTCTTATAAAACAGTCTTTAGCTTGCTAGCTGTTGAAGGAAATGCCTTTGTTCAGTAAATTCCCAGAAAAGCATTAAGATTCAAATTTGTATTCTCCATGACTTTTGTTTATTACACAGTGCCACAGTTTGTTTTAGAGCGCTCTTCAAACGGATGATTGCAGCCAAGCAGAACCAAAATAATTTTCTTCAGTCTAAGGCAGGCTTGAATTGGTGGTTTACTGTGAGATTTCAGAGGCATTTCTGTTTTTGTGGCGTAGACCTCATTAGGCTCAATTCACCAAGCTGCAGCACACGTGTTATTTGCTATAGTGATCATTCTTTTTAGCCTGTGACTGTGTGTACTTTCTGCTTTAATTGGGAAAATCTTTATGGCAAACAATCCTTATAGCTAAAAGCCCAATTCTGGCTGCTGCTAGTTTCTATTCCATCCAGGTGTTTCCCTCTTAGTTTAGTTTATTTTAAGCGTTTTGTTTCCTTTTTTGTGTTTGATTTATTTAAAGGTTAAGTTCACCTTTTTGTGAAACAAAAAAACATAATAAATGCAAATTTTTTTGCAGGTAAAATGGGCATTTATTATTATATTTATTTTTTACACCGCAGCCTGTAAAGCATTGCACCCGCAATCAGTAGATCAGTGCCAGGATCCTGCAGTCTTTCAATCAGTTGTCTGCCTGTACCTCCTGTACAGGCAGACAGTTCATTGTTTCTTCTCAGACATCAGCAACTAAGAGCGCTCACCAGTGCCCTTGCAGTACATTGAAAACTACAAGCTGGTTGCTGCAATAGCAGACAGTAGTTGTAGTTCCTTCATTAACAGGAGCCACATGGTCGCTCTGTTTTTGAATTGTGACAGTGGGTGTGGGGATAAGGTCCCTCGTCCGCTGTCACAATGAGGGATTGGGGGAATCTTTTGGTAACATGTTATATGTATAACGTAAACATGGGTGTAATCCTTTAGCTTTCCTGTATATTGAAACATTTTTTCAGGAAATATACATGCACAGCAACTAAAGGTGTCCATTCAAAGACATATCCAGCTATAAAGAGAGTATATGCCTTTCACTTCAAGGAGACACTGCATAGTAATGTGGATCAATTATAAGTCCTGTTGGTGCTAGAACAAATATTAAGAACTGTAACAAATAAAGCAATATGAAGACACAGGTTTCTGAGAATGGCTGCCGACATCCTATTTTCAGATAGTCTCATATATTGTGTGTTATATGTTATCATGTAAATGTTTATTTGATAACCAGTAACAGATACCACTGTAATTTAAACCACCTGGCTGTAGCGGAAAGGTAGGGGAAAAAAGGATGCAAGAGGGAAATATAGAAAGAGTAGAACCAGGTAAAGCAGGGGGAAGTTGGAAAGTATGTAATAAGAGACAGAGGCTTATCTCCCTCCCTGCCGGACAAACCCAATTGCAATGGAGTGTCTCATAAGCATTCGGAACTAAAGTTGTATTTCCACAGATGTTCCAAGATAACATTTTGGAAGCTTTTGATGCAATACTCACTTCACACTGCTCTCAGTAACCTGGTTCCTTCTTAAGCTAACCATACACTGAACCATACAGTTCAGCAGGGACCAGCCAAATTTTGATTGGTGTTTGACGGTCCCTGCTCAAAAGAAGTTCATTATTTTATCGACTTCCATTAAAGGGACCTGTTAGCAATATGTTATCGAGTGATAGCTGCAGCTGATAACCAGTGTATTCTGACAGCGGTGGGAGATACTGTCAGAAAACAATGTCTTAGTGGGGAGGATTCTTCCATCCACCTCGTTTGTGTGTTCAGCCACTGGGCTGAACAAAAAAAATCAGTGTATGGCCAGCTTTAGCTGCTGCTCTTCCTTTGAGTCCATGAGTCATGGTCCTTATCTGGCTAGTAGCTCTGTTAAACCCAGCCTTTAATGCCCACTTCCAACAGATTGACAGTGGTCTCTATTGAAATGTAGTTCAACCGCCTCCCACCCGCCATATAAGGAAATGGACAGGCAGGGGTTCTCTTGTTCTGGGAGGACATCATATGACGTCCTTCCACTCTAACCGCGCATACACGTCCCCCGGGGGTGCGCGGCGATCTGTGGTGTGCTGTGTCCCTGGGACACAGCAGATCACTGATCAGTGGAAAGAGCCAATGACGTCGGCTCTGTCATGTGACCAGCTGTGTCCAATCACAGCTGATCGCATGTAAATAAGGAAATGCCGGTTATCAGTATTCCTTTCCTAAGCGAGCTGTCACGCTGACAGCTTGTGAGGAAAGGAGAGACGGTAATCGGCATTCCTCAGAGGGAACATGTACACTGATCATCAGGGCACTGGTGATCAGTGCCCTTATGATCAGTGTAGCCCCATCAATACCACCTGTCAGTGTCAATCAATGCTACCTGTCAGTGCCACATATCAGTGCCTACCAGTGCACATCAATGCCACATATCAGTGCCCATCTGAGCTGCCTTTCAGTGCCACCTATCAGTGCTATATGAGTGCTGTCTTTAAGTGATGCCTGTCAATGCCCATCAGTGCCTCCTCATCACTGCCGCCTATCAGTGCCCTTCACTGCAGCCTATCTGTGCAGCCTCATTAGTGAACATCAGTGAGGAGAAAAATCACTTATTTACAAACATTTATAACCGAAAAAAAAAAGAAAAAAAAACTTTATTTTTCAAAATTTTCAGTTTTTGGTTTGTTTAGCAAATAATAAAAAACCCAGAGGTGATTACCATCAAAAGAAAGCTCTATCTGTCTCAAAAAAATGTCATATGAGTTCAGTGTTGCATGACTGCACAATTGTCATTCAAAATGCGACAGCGCTGAAAGCTGAAAATTGACCTGGGCAGGAGGGGGTAAAAATGCCCTGTAGGCAAGTGGTTAACAGAGGTGGTACAAGTCACAGTAGTAGAATGTGTGAGCGCGACTAAAATTGCAGTGCACTTGCGAGTGCCAGAACTGCAGGGAACCTGGTGCAAAAGCACTATGTGATTTTCTGGCTGCTGAGTTTTTAGAATGGTGCAGGAACTTCTTTTAGAATAAATGGGCTGCTTTTCTGTGAAAACGCAGGCCACAAACCTGCATAGATGTAAACCAGTCCTTCAACTAGAATTAACTTGAAAAAGCGTTTAAACAAAAAATAATAGAAAAGATGAAAGTGACATGCGGGGGGGGGGGGGGGGGGGTTATGTATAGATGAGACTGTAAAGCTGTAGTGGCAGCGTGACCGATGTGTGGAGTAGTGCTAACTGAGAAGTTGATGACCATGATTGGAGCCAGGAGGGAAGAATACAGTGGCCCCTCTATCTCTGCAAGAGAAGAGTTTGGAGGCAATGGAGCTGCTAATTATATTGTACATCTATTTTGCAAAGCTGTATTAACATTTTGGCTTGCTTAATACTGTATAAGCAGAAAACTCCATCAAGTTTGCAAGTGCAACACTTTTCCTTTCTCCTGTTGTCCTTGTTGTGTCAAGTTAAGTTCAAATTTCCTTTTATTTTTTGATAAGCCACCTGCAGAGAATTCTCTGATTTTAAAGATTGGACAAAGAATACCATCCCTTTATATTTTATCTTTTATATATTTATTTTTTTTATAATCCTTAAAGTGGTTGTAAAGGCTCCAAGTTTTTATATGCATGCAGGCAAAAAAAACTTCTGTGTGCAGCATCCCCCTCAGCCCCTCTAATACTCACCTAAGCCCCCTTTTGATCCAGCAATGTACACTGGAGTCTCGGCTATCCTGGGACTCCCTCTCCTCATTGGCCAGTGAGCCAATGAGAACAGAGGGCGGTGCCAAGCCACGGCTTCGTGTGTGAATGGACACACGTAGCAGCAGCTGGGGAGTGTGCATGCTCGGGTGCCCCCATAGCAAGCTGCTTGCTTTGGGGGCACCCGACAGGAGGGAGGGGCCAGGAGCGCAGGCAGGGTACCCAAGAAGAGGAGGATTCAGGCTGCTCTCTGCCCAAATACTGCACAGAGCAGGCAAGTATAGACATGTTTGTTATTTTAAAAAAAAAATATCACTTTAAGATGCTCACCGGCCAGTTTATCAAGGAGAACATTTAACAGTATCCTGCGTGTATTCCTCCTTCACACAAAAGCTGTGAAAACCTTAACGCCTCTCCCCTTGTGCTTTTTTTGTACATGCTTTCTGACACTTCACTGAGGCATGGAATTCAGTATAAACTGGCTTATGCAGTTACAATATTTTAGTGTAGTTTTGAATGACCAAATATCTTATAACTGGGATTTTATGTTGCTGTTATTATCTACACCTGATGAGTGAAGAATCTTTGTTTTCCAGTCAAGTACAGGAACAGCAATATCAGCGTTCATTCATTAGAAAAATCCTAACATGGCTAACAATTCATTATTAAAATATTCCTGAATCCTCATTATGTCTCTTGATCTTCTCAGACTTCTGCTCTGTGCCTGGATAACATTCGTCACCTCTGTAACAAGATGTGTTTTGTACATTATTTTTTTTTTTATTTAAAGAAATTATCTGAGGAATATTCAGTTAAAAATCAATGTGTTTTGAGATTTTTTTTAATTTTTTTTTTAACCTCTTTAGCGGTTTTCCCGAGTGTAGCTCGGGGTAAAACTTCAATACCAAGAGCGGTAACCCCAAGGTACACTCAAGCTTACCATGCGGCGTTGCTCAGGGGGTCCCTGCAGCACTTACCTTGTCCTTTGCTCCCGCGATGTGTCCCCGTCCTGCAGCGTCCCCGGCCATCTCCTCCGGCCGATGCCGGCATCCGGCTTCTGTGTTCCGGTCCCTGTGACGTTGGGACGTACGGGTGCCGGAACCGGCGGGAAATTTGAAATTTTTTAAAAATTTCATTTTTGCTGTCATTGCTGTTTCAATGCATTTTACATATATTTTGTCCCTACTGCTTTGTCCTGTGCCCTGCCTGCATTTTGACTGTTCTTTCTGCCTGGAAACTTAGAAAAGTCCATGGCGTCCAAAAAGCGTCCCTTTACGTCAAAAGTGGTTTTAGAACAGCGATAGTAAATCAGAACCACTTGCAGAATTGAGTGATGATTCATGGGGAAATTCATCATCAGACACTGAAAACGATTTTGCGAATTTGCCTCTGTATTTCAAATTTCAGTGTTTTTGGTTTGATTATATTGTTGAATTAAATTTATTATTATAATATTATTTTTTATGATTATTTATTAAATTATAATTTATGATTTCGTGTTTCAAGTTTTATCACATCCGGAATGTTTACTAGACTCTTGTTCGTTTAGATTTCAGTGAGTTATTCCTAAAAATTACAGGCCTACAATAAAAAACTACATATTTCCATGCAAAAAAATGGTACCACTTTCAGCACAAAAAATCAGAAAGAATCATACCGCCAAGGAGGTTAAAGGCCAAAATAACTTTGCAGTAATTTTCTGGGTCCAGAGTCTATTATCTGGACTGCAGAATGGGAGGGTCCTTTGTCAGGTGCCCACCTCACTGCCCTGTGGTATGCAGACTTCTTATTGGCTGTCCAGCAATAGTGTCCCTGCAGGCTACAGAAATCTTCACTTATCCTCACTTCCAGAAGAGGAGTTACAAAGGGTCATCTGATGGCAGACTAAAATTTTTTTAATGGAGGTTTTGAAAAATAAGTGGGAGGTATTGGATGGACAGCAGCTGCCTGTTGATGTGATTTATTATTACAGGTACTTGTATAGCGACGTCAGTTTACAAAGCTCTGTACATATACACTCACCGGCCAGTTTATTAGGTACACCTGTTCAAATGTTTGGTAACCCAAATTGCTAATCAGCCACTCATATGGTAGCAACTCAATGCATTTAGGAATCTAGACGTGGTGAAGACAACTTGCTGAAGTTCAAACTGAGCATCAGAACAAGGAAGAAAGGGGATTTAAGTGACTTTGAATGTGGCATGGTTGTTAGTGCCAGACGGGCTGGTCTGATTATTTCTAAAACTGCTGATCTACTGGAATTTTCACACTAACCATCTCCATGGAAATCGAGACTCATCAGACCAGGCAATGTTTTTACAGTCTTCTACTGTCCACTTTTAGTGAGCCTGTGCAAATTGTAGTCTCCGTTTTCCGTTCTTCGCTGACAGGAGTGACACCCAATGTGGTCTTTTGCAGCTGTAGCCCATCTGCTTCAAGGAACGACGTGTTGTTCATGGTATTCTGCATACCTTGGTTGTACCGAGTGGTTATTAGTTACTGTTGCCTTTCTATCATCTCGGACCAGTCTGCCCATTCTCCTCTGACCTCTGACATCAACAAGGCATTTTCGGCCACACAACTGCTGCTCACTGGTTATTTTCTCTTTTTCGGACCATTCTCTGTAAATCCCAGAGATGGTTGTGTGTGAAAATCCCAGTAGATCAGCAGTTTTTGAAATACTCAGACCAGCCTGTCTGGCACCAACAACCATGCCACGTTCAAAGTCACTTAAATCCACTTTCTTCCCCATTCTTATGCACAGTTTGTACTTCAGCAAGTCTTCACTACATCTACATGCCTAAATGCATTGAGTTTCTGCCCCGGTTGATTAGCAATTTGTGTTACCAATCAATTGAAGAGGTGTACCTAATAAAGTGGTCTGTGAGTGTATATTCTACGTTCACATCAGATTTAAAGTCATAACTTCAAAATGCAGTCCTAAAAATAGTGCTTTTTACTTAGATTCCTTTTTTAAAGCTAGATTGCGTGCCATGGAAGAGAATCTTTCTCCCAAAAAACACAATACGTCATTGATTTCTAACTAAAAAAAAGTTTGATAGTAACACAATACATACATGTACGTTTTTTTGTATGGTTTGATGTTCTTTGTATAATATTGTGTCATATGATAGTTTGCTCAGTAGATAGTTTGTCAGCAGCATTTTTAGTTGTATGGCAAGTGCAATCTCTCATGATTCCAGCTACCTTTTTGTTTATGTTTAGGGTATTAGCCCAGAACCCATCCATCTGAAGATCTTCTCTCCTAATGTGGTCAACCTGACACTAGTGGATTTACCAGGGATGACAAAGGTACTAGTGGCTCGGTACAGCCTAATTAATAAACAGAATAGGTTGATAAAATAGACATATAACCATTATACTTGTTAATTTAATAGGAATCTCTTCCCTTTTTTTTAGGTACCAGTGGGTGACCAGCCTAAAGACATCGAACTGCAGATAAGAGAATTAATTCTGAGGTACATCAGCAACCCTAATTCCATCATTCTAGCAGTCACTGCTGCCAACACAGACATGGCAACTTCCGAAGCTCTGAAAATAGCCCGGGAGAGTGATCCAGACGGTGAGCTTTCAGATCTTTCATTTCAAGGTGTCAATACATTCCCTGAATAGAGCAGCATCTGCCTTGCTTTGTCTGCCAGCCTGATGGATAGATCAATAAACATTAATGTTTAATAAAGTTCTGAATAGTGTCTCTGTTTTTGCGTATGTTTCTCTAAGCTCCTGTAACTGGAGGCTTTAAGCTTGGCTTCCTCATGTGAACTGAGCTTGTCTGTGTGAGAGTTACCCATAGTTTAACCATAGTTTTATCCAAAAATGTGCTGTAGCCCTTTTTACAGCAACTAAATGTGATTGCAGAGGCAGACCCAACCTGCATTGTACTGTGATGGCCTGGCTTTTGTGGGTGAAGCCATGCACCTGTGCTGCTGGGGATAGCACTTGGCCATAAAGATGTAAATTAATTGAAGGGGTGGGGGGGGGGGGGATTGATGGGATTGTATGTAAATCCATAATTTTCAGTATGTACCTCAGAACAGGCATGCAACTCAGTTGAAATAGCTTCTAACATCAGAGAATTATCTACTCACTTCTCTCAGGTTCTCTTTTAATGACACCACAGGCAGTGGGAGTGTTTGTAAGGTAGCTTATTCTACAGAGATTCAGGGCTTCCGCGTTAGGAATGTGTAAAATATCGTATTGTCTCGATATTTTATTAACTTGTATTGATGAGAAATGTTCAGATAGAAAGTCCTTCCACTTCTTGCATAAACTCAAAAAGATGATTTAATAATAACGTTGCATAAAATTAGAAATAAAATATTGGCATACAGAATGTTTAAATAATGTCCAAAAAAAAATATAGTTAAGTTCTTGATAATAAGATTGTATATATGTATATGTGTATGTGTGTGTGTGTGTCTCAAGGCTTCTAGCAAAGAGTGACCTTAAAAAGTCTTTGTTCTGCTCTTAAAAGAGCAATCCAGCCCCCACCATCTCCTAAAAGTGGGTTGGTATTCTCTTGTAGTCCCACTAAGATAATTGACACCAACAGAGGTATTAAAACAAAACCTCCAATCTACTTCTCTCAAAGTCTGAGTGTAACTTTATCTCTTACATAGATGGGGGAAGGTATAGCTAATTGCTCTCATATGTGGCTTGAATGTAAACGAAAAACCCAAGATATATGTTCATATGTATATTCACAGACTATGAAGTCTAATTACTTACTTTTCCCAAACTAGAACAAATATAAATATAATAACTCAATTATTCTATTAAGATCCAACTCATTCATACTTGTTAGTACTGTTAATAAGAAGATATTAGATATTAGGTTAAGGAAAGCTTCTAACAGAATGATTTTTTCCTGGTTCCTTTTTGTTGTTGCAGGTAGGAGAACGCTCGCTGTGATCACCAAACTCGACCTCATGGATGCTGGGACAGACGCCATGGATGTCCTCCTAGGGAGGGTCATACCAGTTAAACTGGGCATCATTGGAGTTGTCAATAGGTAGCGATTATATGCTTTAATAATATCTATGTATGTGTATATGTATGTGTATATATGTATGTGTATATGTGTGTGTGTGTATGCGTGTATGTATATATATATATATATGTGTGTGTGTGTATATATGTATATATATGTGTGTGTGTGTGTGTGTGTGTGTGTGTGTGTGTGTGTGTGTGTGTATATATGTGTGTGTGTGTGTGTGTGTGTGTGTGTGTGTATATATATATATATCTGTATATAAAGCACTGGGTTTACTTGAAGCTCCTGAAATATATTTTACCTGACTATAATAACTCCTGCTCATTGGTAACAGAGGGACAATAGCCAATCATAAGCTTGCATAACGATAAACTCTCTCTTCCCACCGTCTTGTGACAGCACTGGGTCTTTGAGCAGCCATTTATGTAGCACCAGTATAATCATATGGGAGTAAGTCCTGGTACATACTATAGGTTTTGTTTTTTGTTACACTCAGCGGGATGAACGAAACATGAGAGATCGATGTACTAACACAAGCGATGTTGGTGTTGCAATCTCCCTCGCTGTGCCATTGTGTTCTGACAGGAGGACTTCACCCCTCCCAACCCACCAGAACACACAGATCAGCCATTGGCTGCTAGCAGTGATCGGATGCTGGTTTTCCACAGAAGCTAGTCATGAGAACTGCTGGTTCCTGCTGAACCGACTGTTTTTTGCCTGTATGTACAGGGCTTATGGTGAGTGAGTGACATGCTACCTTGCTCCCGGCAGTGGTGGTGGAGTAAAGGGAAGTAGAGTATGTGCTGCTGGGGGGGTTGGTAATAATCTGAATCTGTTCTACCTTGTGTGGGCAAAGCACAGCTTTCGTTCAAACAAGAAGTGTATTTTATCAATAGCATTTTTTTGTTTGGGCTGTGGAATAATTTTTGATTTTAACCAGGCTTGTGCTGTTGTCCAGATATACTCCTGGCATTTATGGCTCTATATTTCATGGAATTTGCTGTATTTTTGGTTTCAGGAGTCAGCTGGATATTAACAATAAAAAGAGTGTAGCAGACTCAATCCGGGATGAATATGCGTTTCTTCAGAAGAAGTATCCATCTCTGGCCAATAGGAATGGAACCAAGTACCTGGCACGTACCCTGAACAGGTAACACTCAGCAGGGAGCCCTAATGTAGGCCTGAGGCTTGTGATGAGGTAGAGCGGTGCATATTTTACTAAAGTGAATCTTGCAGTACTTCAGTGACCAGGTCTCCTTCTACAAGGTATCCCCCACCTCCCCAAAATGCTCAAAAAATAATTCCATAATAAAAGGTTACACAATAAACTTGCTTTCTCCAGCTTCCTAGGCAAAGGTGATGTCGTCCTTCTGGCAAGATCTTGTGGAATGTTGAGTAGCTCAGATCTCTCAAGAAGACAATCATGTAATGTTCTGCAGCAAGATTTGGGCTATTCTGCATTCCCAGGGATCTTGTTGGCAGGAGAACGTAGTCACCTCCTACACTACGGGAGTCAGGGAAAGGTTAGTATATTCAGATATTTACCTGTCTCTCCACCCCCCCCCCCCCCCCTTCAAAAAGGGACCTTGCCTAGGGTCCAAAGTTAATTTTAATTTTACATATTTACATAACGCTGAGACTTTATCACTTGCACTTTGCAGAGTATTTAGGTTATTTTCAGTTATTTAGGATTTACATCTTCTTTGAAGTACCTGTATATTTATATATGGTAATAGATTTTGAGGAAAATTGAGCACCCAATTAGAGTCGACATACAAAGGGTATACCAACTTTGGTGGTAATCAAGACCCCAATGCTATCCTGTTGCCAAGTCCTCTGTTCTTGTGTGGTTTTTTGTTTGTTTTTTTTAATCTGTGTTGTGCTTGTCTGCAGGTTACTGATGCACCACATCAGAGACTGTTTGCCAGAGCTAAAAACCAGGATCAATGTTTTAGCAGCTCAGTATCAGTCACTGCTCAACAGCTATGGTGAGCCAGTGGAAGACAAGAGTGCAACTCTGTTGCAGCTCATTACGAAGTTTGCCACAGAATATTGTAACACAATTGAAGGCACAGCAAAACACATAGAGACTTCAGAACTGTGAGTTACTGTTTAATGAGCCATCTCTTACTCTCCTCTCTAGCTCAGCAGCCAGTCACCACAGTGTTTCAGAGTTTGACTTGTTTGGTGACTTTAATTTGACAGGTGTGGTGGTGCACGAATTTGCTACATCTTCCATGAAACTTTTGGGAGGACACTGGAATCTGTCGATCCGTTGGGTGGACTGACCACTATTGACATACTTACAGCTATCAGAAATGCAACGGTATGTTTTCCTTCTTCTAAAAGGTCCTTTCACACCATGCTGCACATGAAAACTTACTGCAATGCAGTGCATCTCATGCAATGTGGTTTTTATGGGTGTTGGCATGCATTTTCATGTCTCCTGTTGTGAAGCAACAGGTTTCTGAAAGGTTAAAAATACTAACATTTATTTATTTTTTAATTAATATCTATTCTTTCAATTGCATTTACATGCACTCACGTGTTGGATTAAAATGCAGACAGGTTGCATTTTATTGCAATGCATATGTACACAAACTTGTGGTGTGAATGAGTCGATGGATTTTCTATGCGCCCTTTTATTGACCTGCATTTATCTGGTGCAGGAAAGGAGGTTGCTACACATGCTGTGAGCAAGTCCTAAGTGTTTCTGTATATTTTTAGGTCTTTTTCCTACCCTTGCCTGTGTGTAGACCGTGAAATACAAGCAGCAAACTGTTGAGCTCTTTCTTGTCACTGTACTCTTTCCTCCTACCTATTAGCATGTTCCCTAATCAGCACATGTACACTGCGGCAGAGCCTGACTGGCTTCTTGTGCTGTATTCATTCCTCTCCCAGTCTGAACTCTGCTATATAGATCAGTGTTTCTCAACCTTTTTCAGTCAAGGCACCCTTTAAAATTATGGACAGTCTTGAGGCATCCCACTCTAAAATGTAAAAAAAATTCTAATTGTTTTCTTTAACGAAGCAACATCCACACATGTAGGACACCCAACATTAGAGGTGTTTCTTTCTTCCAAATCAAATACACTTTTTCACACTGGTCCTGACTAGTATTCCAGTGTTTCTCTCAGTTTTACTCCATCACTGAGCTAATGTGACCCCAGCACTAACAGAGGGGAAGGTCAAACTAGGATGCTATGCAGGCAACTGACATCCTCCTTATTAACTGATGACGTCATTGGTTGTCAGGATGCCGGTGGCTAGAAGGTCATAATGGCGCACAATGAAAACCTGTGGCTCTGTGTAACTAAAAGGCAAGCTTCTTCCACCCGCTGGCTTGTATAGACGTTTTGTGCAACTTTTAGACATTTTGCTCAGGCACCCCTGAAGAGACCTCAAGGCACCCCAGGGTGCCTGGGCACCCCGGTTGACAAAGGCTGGTCTAGATGTTTGTGGTGTTGCTTTTCTTTCAGAAGAACTGATTCCTTATCCCGGATGGAGCTCGAAAGGGTGCATCTGCTTCCTGTTCCACCATCTTTAGGTGGCTTTCATCATCTAACTTTATGAACTCAAGTATCTGGGTCCACTCTTTCCTGTCGAGGTGAATTCTGCTAGATCTGTGAGGGTTTTTTGGCATCAAGCAGCTGTTTCCAAGATTTGCGAGGGTGCTAGCTAGTCTTTTGTTCTCCTATGTTCTGGACTTTTCAGCCTCGTCAGCTGGTTAGGACTTCCTGTGTCCCTTAATAGACTCCAAGAAAAGGTTTTTACATTGAGTACAAAAAACCTTTTTCTCTAGCCTGCATTTTTAAAGAAACCATTTTTCCATTGTTTATGGCTAAACAAAAGTTTTTTTTTTTTGTTTTTTTCCCCTGCAGTTAGATGGATTCTTCCAAGTGTGTCAACTTTTTCCTGTTACTCCAAATCATACTAATAGGTTAATTATTTTCTACCAAGATTTGGTGGACTGCATGAACATTAGATTCTAAGCTTCTCCAAGGTTTGGGACTAAGTGAGCAGTCTGTGTTCCTGGTGAAGCTCTGAAGAATTTGTCTACGATAAAACTGAATACAATTCTCTGTCCTCTTAGGGCCCACGGCCGGCCTTGTTTGTCCCAGAAGTGTCTTTTGAGTTGCTGGTGAAGAGACAAGTGAAACGCTTGGAAGAGCCAAGTTTGCGGTGCGTTGAGCTTGTTCACGAGGAGATGCAGAGGATCATCCAGCACTGCAGCAATTACAGCACACAGGTAATTCTACACTTTAGGATATGCAGTTTCTGTATTTATTTAGGCTGTACTCTGGTGGTAATTGATTTATGTAATCCTGGGAAGATGCTGGTTTGATGTTTCTCATCTTGCTCCCTTTTTCAGGAGCTCTTGAGGTTCCCAAAGCTGCATGATGCCATAGTTGAGGTGGTCACATCGCTTCTGCGGAAACGCCTTCCTGTAACCAATGAGATGGTAAGAAGATGTACTGACTGATTTGACTAATAGTGTCCCACAATTTTCTCTTTTGAAATTTCTAAATTTTTCACATCATACACAGTATTCAGAAAACCTGAGTGACATTTGCTTTAATTTGTGGGCAGATTCGGTACTGAATGGTGCCACAACACAACCATGTGCCAAACCCCGCTATCCCTTTTTCAGCTGTCAAAAAAAGGGCATTCAAGAAGCAGCAGTATCGCCCTGTAATGATTTCTCTGAAAAGCGATCCACCACGGATTGGTTTTCAAAATGGCTGTAAAGGTTTCAAAATGGCGGTAAAGGTCCCTAAGAGGGGAACAAAGTCTGTTCATGATTACAGGCCCTTAACAGGACTTGATTACTTGGTTTTTGATTTCTACCATTGCTTTGGCCTGGCCCTCATTCAAGGACCCTGGATCAGGATAATCCTGAAAGCAGACCCACGTAATCAAATATTGATAGTTTTCTAGAGCTGATACCCAGCATCACGTAGGATATATTATTATTATTATACAGTAATTATATAGCGCCAAAGGGTATGCCCAGCACTGTACAATAGCAAGGGGGACAGAACATGAGACAAGACAGTAACAATACAATACACGAGGGGTTCGAGGGCCCTGCTCTTTCGAGCTTACAATCTAGGAGATATTTGGTGACATTTAATTGGTGACCCTTTTAATTGGAACTCCAGATGTTTGTTAAACTTTAGAATTGCATAGGAAATGGTTTTTCATTATCGGACAGTTTTTTTCTTTGTCATCTTTGAGGAGACTTTCTTTGTATAACTATTGTCTCAGTGCTGCTATACTACAGGCATGCATGACTGAAATTGTGTTCAGCCTTAAAATCTGTGTTGTGCATTTGAATGGTTAAATGTAAACCATATGGGCATCACAATGGCTAAAAGGTTAGCACTTTCACCTGGCAGTGCTAGGGTTGTAGGTTCAAATCCCAGCCATGGCACCTCCTGCCTGGAGTTTGCATGTTCTCCCTGTACCTGCGTGGGTGTACTCCGGTTTCCTCCCACACTCCGGTTTCCTCCCACACTCCGGTACTCCGGTTTCCTCCCACACTCCAAAGACATGCTGGTAGGTTAATTGGCTCCTGTCTAAATTGGCCATAGAGTGTGCATGTATGAATGTGAGTTAGGGACTTTAGATTGTATGCCCCTTGAGGGTTAGGGACTGATGTGAATGTACAATATATATGTAAAGTGCTGCGTAAATTGACGGCGCTATATAAGTACCTGAAATAAATAAAATAAATAAGACTGGAAAAATGTTTAAAGAACTTGATTATATAACCACATTGGGTCATTTCATACAGGTCCACAATTTGGTGGCCATTGAACTTGCCTATATCAACACTAAACATCCAGATTTTGCAGATGCCTGTGGTCTGATGAACAATAATATAGAGGTGAGGAAGGCACAATCTTCTCTACCAGATCTGGTAACAATAATAAATCTTAATGTATAAAACTATTTTTGTTTTTCTGTGACATGCAGGAACAGAGGAGGAACAGATTAGCCAGGGATTTACCGCGGCCTGCAGCTCTTACAGATAAAGTGAGCATAGCCAATGTGAAACGCAATTGTGCGAATGTGGTATATTACTATATATTAGGAATCCTTTCGTTTGCTATGATTTTTTTTTTTGTCCATTACTTGAATGTTAAAGCAGAACGCTGTCCAATAAACAAATTCCTTTGATGTCAGTTTAGTGGAGTAGAGATGATTCTGCAGTTTTTTGGCTGAGCTGTTGACAGTATATTCCTAGAGAGATACTACAATATGTGAAATTTGGTTTGAGGTATAATAGCATTTTCACATCAAAAAAGTTGTAATATTACTCTAAATTGAATTGATATATAAAGGCCAAATTCACTTTTAGGAACATATTTTAGGGTTGTGCGACCTAACGTGTTCTGAAGTATCTGCTTTCCACACACAGAGACCCACCCACCCTCACCCCTGGGGTTCTCCTCACTTGCAGCTGCTGTCTCATTCAAAATCGTCAGGACTCCACCCCACGCATGACTGTTATTCATTCACAGAGATCTGTGAATGATCAAACTTTAAGTTCATCTGCCACTGTAGCAGATGGGCTTATAGTTCTTAATTGACTACAAGTGCAGCAATTGGTGCACTCGTAGTTAATTGACAGTACCAACAACTTTCTAACTGAAAGCCCATCCAGAGATATGAGCAAAGAGCTGGAGGAAGGTTCTGCAGGAGCCTGACATTGCACCTTAAATCCACTGATCAAGGGTGTAATGCTTTACAGGGTCCTGCTAAAAATAATTAATGCCCTTTTGTCCTGCAAAAATATGTGCATTTATAATTTTTTTTCCCTAAAAATGAACTTCGCTTTTTTAAAGCATGTATAAACGCAATAACAAAAATTAAATCTATTGCCGCTCACCAGTCTTTGGATGTGGTGGCTGTGTAAATTTTAGTTTTTTTTAATGTTTTTCCATTATTTTCATCCTGTGATTCTGCAAGCAGTAACACCGTTTGTGTCCCAGGTTGACAATGCTCACTCTCTCACTCATTGTATTATATCTATGGATGAACACTATTGTTACCTTAGGATAGGATATGTACTAGGACTACACCTTCCTCTTTTTCCTCTCCTTAACATTGAGGGGGAGGTGTTCTGGAATACTCACAGGTATGAGGAGTGCATTGGAGATTTGGCAAGATCAACAGGTGTTTTTTGCACTTAACAATTAGATATAAGAAACACTTTCAATTGTATACTTTATAGACTAAAGGGTGCAAATAGGAAAAATTTGTTTTTGTTTGCATGCACTTTAAGGAATTTCTAGGTAAGGGTTTAAAAGTGTGACCCTCAAGATGTTGTAGAATCATGCACTATGATCTATGCTTGGTACTTGCATTTACTCAGTGGTAGATGGGCCTGAAGGTTGCCCATGCTTCTTATAAATACTTTATTTGGCTCAGCAGCACATTAGCAGGACACCATCATGGTTTTGGTCACATTAAATGGATTGTAAGAACCTGTACAGAACCATACAGGGCAAAGAAATGGGGGGAGGGGTCAGCTGTGCCATATAAGCTTGAGCTATTAATCTCTGTTTACAGACTTTTTTTTTTCTCTCCAGCTAAGTTGTTCTGATTTGTGAACATGTTTCATCTACTGGCCAAAAAAAAAAATCATTCTTATTCATAAGTAATAATGTGTAATTATCTGACTAAAATTACCAAACCTGATACAAACATTCTCTTTAAAAAGAAAATAAAATCTGCCATAATTAATGTTGAACTGTGTAAATCTAGTTCATTTTAGGATTTTGGGTGGCTATGTTTTATAAGGATTATTCCTATTCTGTGTGGATTTAGCTGTCATGTCTTTGTACACACGGTATAAGTACCTAAAGCTGACCTTACTTATTGGGGTCATTGGATTTTAGGAGTGTACTTGGTGGTAAGGGTGTGTCACTGATAAGTTATGAAATGATCACAGAATATAGCTGGCAGTAAAACCGCAATCATATACAAGCCTGACTTGGTTTATCTATATCCAAAACCTTTTTTTTTTTTTGTGTTTTACGTCTAACCTTTCTCCATTCTATTAGGTTTTACTGCTATTTTGGACTGTGTTGAAGAGAGATTTATACCCACTTCCTGGCTAGTAAAATGTCCCCAAAAGAAAAACATTTTTTTACTTTATTCTGTGTTGCTTTTAGAGAGATTTCCCTCACTTCCTGTCCTGGGGACAACCCATTTTACCAGATGGGAAGTAAAGAACTTTCTTCAGGAGAGCCTCCAAATGACAAGTTCTAATCCTTCCTCACTTTTTCCAAAACCTAAAAAAGAACCACAGTTTTTGGCTTACAGATGCACTTTACACCACAATAGTTTCTTGAAATCTGAAAACAAAACCTCTACCAATCAAAGCTTTAAACGTGAACCTGTTCTTGGATGGCTAAATAGTTTTATAGAAGGGCTTCATTACTTGCCTTTCATGGAGAAAATGCAGTTTTAGGCTCCCTTCATTGCTGGCCATTTATCTGAAGGCCCAGATACTTGGTTATGTGATGTCTGCTACTACAAGGGTGTATGTTGGCTAGTTGTGCTCTTCAGAAGAGATCATGGGTCTGAGCACCTAGGCCTTCATGTTTTTGGCTATCACTTATGAGAGAATAGAGCAGCATTTACTCCAGGAAAATTAAATATTTTAGCCCTACTTTTTTTTTATCCAACTCATCAAGACTGCTAATGTAGCTTTATAATAATATTTTGTGATAGAGCACTTTCATTACTTTGTGTAAGGCTACTTTCACACTAAGGAGTTTTTGAAGCGTTTTTGTGTTATAAAAGCGCCTGAAAAGCTCAAGAAAAATGCTTTATCTATGTATGTTTGCACACTGAGGCGTTGCGCTTGTGGTGCGTTATAAAAACTCCTCCTGTTTGCAGCATCTTTGGGTCATGTTTGGTGAGTTGGAAAAAAAAAAAAAAAAGCCCCAAAAATGCCTCTTCCCATTGCAATCAATGGATAGCACCTGAAAAGCGCCTCCAGACACGCCTTTAAGAAGCGGTTTTGGTGCAGTTTTTAAGTTACGTATCCTTTAAAAAATGCTCAGCGTGGCCAAAGCGCTGTAAAAAGCCTATGTGCTTTTGCAGCTGATCAGTGTGAAAGTTGCCTTAATTCATACTTTTCAAGACACTCAAAGTATTGAGACCAGCAGGTCAGCATGACCGTAAGCATTTTTAAAGGAGAGATCAGCCTTGGCAGCCTACATATTTCAGTACAGGTTTCCTGTATAATGTGTGTCCAGCTGCTTCTGTTTACTTTAACATTGTGTCATTTTTCAGCTTTTAAAGTGGGTTCATAGAGACTGATATTTATGTGTAACAATTGAAAGCCTAATATGTGTAATCTCTAGTAAAATCTCTCTTCTGATTCTTTTTCTTTCTTTAGTCTACTAAACCTCCAGGGCCTCTGGCGTCTGCCTCCCTGGAGTCCTCCTCTGCTTCTGCCACTGAGGCTGATGGCAAGGTCTGTGCCAATCTCATAGCATTGCATGCTATGCTTCATTTTTGTGGTTCTGTTGTAGCTGGTTTTTGAAATGTGAAGATTGAGACCATGTTTGCGATACATGTGCTATTCGTCCACCTCTGCCTGTGTGTCTGCTGTATGATGCAAGGCATGTATGAAGAGCCTGACTGCTTGAGACACAAATTACCCCTTCTGCATGCAAAATTCAGATCCCTATCTCTATCACTGCCAGCTTATCTTTGAATAGTATGCCAAGCCAAAAACGTTTAGAAGAAATTTTAACTAGAGTGTGTAATGCAGGCCATACATTGGCTGAATTCCAAACAAATTTTATTTTAAATTAGAAATTTTGTGTATTTTGTAATCCGATGGTGCCACCATTGATTTTGAAATTTGACCAACCAAGCCTTAAATTTCACCTCGTGTTGCTACAGAAAATGATTTTCGTGGCCGGGAATTTTCTTTTATTTCCAGGTCACAGTTCATTTCTTTTTCGATCACATTTCTTGCATGACTCTGCCATCATTGATTAAAAATTAGTTTGTTTTTAAAAAAAATTTCCTCATGTCCAATCACTCAAATTCGATGGTCGCTTGAAATTCGGCCGTTGCTCTGGCCCACTAATGGTGCAAAATTCGAATAAAAAATTCTTAGAAAGGATTTTCGAAAGTAAACTCTTGGAATTCGACTCATGCATGGGCGGCTTAAGGCTTAGAACACGTCTGATTTTTACTGTCACCTGGGGTCTCACTAGATGTGCCCTACTTTCCTTTTCACCTGACAAGTTTAACTAGAAGTGAGGGAAAATCTGCAGCTGACACAGGCAAAAGTAAAATCTAGCTTGGGTTTTTGTTTTTTTGAATGCTCTTCTAAAAAAGTTTTCCCTATAGCATATCATAGGACATATCCATGACTATAGGGTTATGCTTTCACCTTCAGATGTTTGTACACTGGCAAAAAAAATAACAATTACTTCCTAGGTATAACCCTTGTTAGGCAAGGTCCCCTTCTACCACCTATACAAACTACCCTTTGGAAGAAAGATCTGTATACTTACCTGTTCTCAGCTTTGGTCCAGTCATTTGATTGGCTCTACTCTGTCAGCTAGCAGCGGCTGCAGGGGAGATGAGGGAGCGCCGATGATGGATGACTCATAGTTAGCCTATGGATGACATCACCACAGGCATTTCAGCTGTTGTAAGAGCACTCTCATCTTCTCCTGTAGATCACGTGACCAGACAGGAGCGGCCTCAGAATAAGTATATACATCTTTCTTCCACAGGGTAGTTAGTATAGGCTTTAAGTGGGGGTGGAAGCAGTTTTAAGATTAGTATAACCCCAGAATTCCACTATAAGGTCTGGGCTTGTCACAAGACATAGGGATTCTACTAGTGGAGATACCAAATCGAGCAGAAACCGCATTTTCCATGTGCTCTTGGCTTCAAACTGGATGTGCCTGTTCTCTGTGTAGTGTGAGGAGAGGGGTGTATGTCCCTTCGTTCCAATCAGGTTTCAGAGTTCTTCTCCCCAACCTGTGCAGTGTGTGAATTCAGATGTCTGCCCTCTGCTTTGTACTGCTGAGAGATGCTGACAGATTCTGTGTAAAATATGTGTTGTAGTAGGCTGTACAGGACAGATGACTGCAGATAAACAGGTACTTGTGTAGGAGGAATTGTTTCATCTCTGTGTATCACCTGAGGCCAGTCACTTCAGTGGTTATATGTAAGGATTTTCAACCACTTTAAAGGACTTCAAACAGCAGCTTTTACCTCTTGGGGTCTTACCTGTACATATGCACAGGATCTTATGACTGAAGTGTTCCTCAGTGAAATTGTCCTACAAGAAACATGTTCCCCTTTTTAAGGGGACCGTTTGTCTAGTCCTGCCTTAGATGATTACATCCAGAATTTGACTCTGGGTAAGGCCAAGACTACAGTTCAAAAACCTGCGGTTCCTTCTACTTCAAATACACATTTCATTCACCAATCTGCTGCTTTGGGCTCCAGGTCCAAACTCCAGTCCCAGCTTCATAAGAAACCATGGGCTCCAGAACCTGCCAAGTCAGATAACCAGTCTCTTCATAATGAAGGGGGGCCTCACTTGAGTGGGGAGACGTTTACAGGCCTTCATTGAGGTTTGACAGGGGGAGATTGCAGATGAGTGGGTCCGAAATCTAGTGGTTTGCAGCTGAAAGCTGGAATTTCGGAACTTTCCCTTCCACACTTTATGCCTTCAAGTATTTCTTTGAATTCACAAAAAAAATTAGCTCTTCTGCAAGCTCTCGATCATCTTCTGTATCAAGTAGTAAGCATTCCAGTTCCAGAGTATTCAAACCTTATCATGTTTCTGAAACAAAACAGATGTTTGCCTCATCTTGGATCTCAAGACACTGAACAAGTTTCTGCATGTGCAGAAGTTCTAGGTGAAATAGGTTCGGTCTGTGGTGGTCTCTCTCCAGTAGGGAGATTTCCTGGCATCCGTTGATATCAAAGATGCTTACCTGCACGTTTGATCTTTCCTCATCACCAAAGATTTCTGCAGTTTGTGGTAAAGAGCTGCCACTTTCAGTTTATGGCCCTGCCATTCAGTCCATCCACAGCTCCCAGAGTGTTCACCATGGTTCTGGCTCCTGCATACCTGTGGTATACCTGTTATAGGTACCTGGATGACTCGCTACTGAAGGGGCTTGTCTGCTGGAGACCAGTGTGTCTTACTTGGTGTTCACTCCTGAGAGGTTTGGGTGGGTTCTAAATTTAGATATCAACCATAGCCTCAACCCAGAGGTTGGAATATTTAGGCCTGATCCTGGATACCGTCCAAATGAGAATGGTCCTCCCTCTAAACAAATGTCTTGCTCTGAGGTGGCTTGCTCTTGGGTGGACTTGCTCAAGACTGACAAGTCCCTCAATATTGCGTGTGGGTCTGGGAAAGATTGTAGCCTCCCTTGAGGCAGTGCTCTTTGCCTAGTTTCAAACCTGAGCACAAGGTGGTCTCTACACTGGTGGTCTCTTTACCAGATGCTGGAGATGGGAGCATTATCATGTAAATCAGTCCAGGGAATTTGGTCACTGCAAGAGAGGTTATTACCTATCAATATCCTGTAATTAGCAGTGTCCTCAATGCATTGTTTGGTGCAACTGAAGGGCCATTCTGTAAGGATCCAGTCTGACAACACCACAGTGGTGGCGTGTAAAAATCATCAAGGAGGTATCTGAAGTCAGGCTGCTCAGGAAGCAGTGGATCTAATCTTGGAATATTGGCAGGTGGTTTTTCTCAGCTGTCAACAAGCAAAGTGGGCTTTTTACTCTGGGATGTTCAAGGAAGTCTTCCGCAGGGCACCCCAAATGTTGGTCTTCTGGTGTCCAGGTTCAGTGTGAAACTAGACCGTTCCTGTCCATGAACAGGGATCCTCATGCGTTTGTGGTGGATGCTCTGGTGACACAGTAGGACCAGTTCTGCCTGATTTTTACCTTCCCGTCATTACAGCGTCTACCTTTTTCAGTATTCAAGTAGAAGGAATTCCAGTGATTCTGATAGTCCCAGCCTGACAAGAAAACATAGTACTCCAACATTGTGAACACACGATGGTGAGATGACCAGTAGGAAATCTCTCTAATGGAGCCTTGGATAAAAACGTGACAGCACTTTTTAAACTTTATCCACTGTTCCTTAACTTTTTGGCTGGACATAAACTTTAAAGTAAAAATTCCCTTTTGTTACGGGGCAAACAAACCTCCCTCAGGTCAGCTTAGTACATTGCTAACATCTCTACACAGCAGAAGCACAGTCCTTTGAAAAAATTCTTACTTTTTTAAAAAACGTTTTTACATAATTCATATATATCTAATTTATTTTTTTTTTAAAGCTGAACTTGCTATGTATAACCAAGTACATCTAGTACAGGATGTACAGGCAAGCATATATACTGACAGGAAGATTGAATGAACTACCACAGCACTCTACATTGCTGTGGTAGTTCATTGAGAACTACAAGCCCACAGCCGCTAAGGATGTCGGTACTTGTAGTTCATTCGTTCACAGAACTCTTGAATGAATGACATGGCACTGTGTGCCATGTTAAAGAGTGACAGCTAGTATGAGGAACTTCTCCCCGTACTGCTGTTGGTGTGTGGGGGGTGAATTGGGCAGCAGCTGCAGCATTGGGAACATGTTATATGTTTCACCCTAAAACGGATGGAACATGTAACATGTTCCCAAAGGTGAACTTATCCTTTAAAGTAGCAGTGACAGCATCATTGTGCTGTACATAGCCTGTGCAGAGAGCAGAGCTGTGACAGGGGTCCAGTGGGCCCCACCCGCTTGTGGCTGTCTGCAGAAAACTACTGGAGGGGTTGGATATATGACCAGTCATCCTGCACAAGGAGAAAAAGCAGCAGCGACCGGTGTTTGTTACAGGGAGCTCCTGCACAGAGACAAAGTTTCACACTGGATTACTGCACAGATCTGGAAGAAATGCACAAAGCACACTGAGATTCCAGTAAGAGTACATGTGCCTCTTGCATTTATCTAGTATTTATTTAGCCTGAGTTTAAGCATTTTACTTTTGTACGAACTCTGAATGGGTAGTAAAGTATACCATCCCGGCTAAGTAAATGGATAGAGGGGTGACTGCAGGATCCACCTGCCTGCACTCCAGCCTGGATGTGATAACATTCCCCTATGGATTTCTGTGGTACAGACTTCACTCAAACACACTTCAATGGCTCATAGCACCACATGTAATTGAAACCTACACATTTATCACGTGATCCTGAACATGCAGTGCAATCCATTTATCCATCCTGAATCCATAGGAAAGTGCAGAATTATTCAGCATGCAAACCATTGCTTTCATTAAAATGACCCGAATTGGCATAGATTTTTAATGCTGATTTCCAGGAAAAGTGCTACATGCACAGTTAGAATACAAATACTTGAACGGTTTAATCTGACCAGATTGTAAATATGTTCAGCCAGTCGTTCGAGTCCCTATTCCTACCTCTGTCAAACAGCACAAGGGTGGTCTAGGACTTGCCCTTAAACTAACTGATTAGCCAATGGAAAGGACATAGATTTTTCTGAAGGTTTTTTTTTTTTTTTTTTTTTTTTTCCCTGGGGATGGTGCAATTGTGATCTTTAAAGTAAAAGTTCATGTATTATTTCAGAACTTTGCATTACATTAGAATTTTTGTAAGCTTTCTTGTTTCATGAGATCAGAGCATGTGTGGTTGACACCAATACAACCTAACCAACATTGGCAGTCACCTTGTGCCTGCATTTCTGACAGCCTTGGATATGTAAGGACAATTATAACTCCCCAAAATCATGGCCTTTACAGTGCCTTGAGAAAGTATTCATACCCCTTGACATTGTCCTCATTTTGTCATGTTACAATCAAAATCGTAAATGTATTTAATGAGATTTTATGTTATAGACCAACACAAAGTGGCACATAATTGTGAGGTGGAAGGAAAATGATTAAATGGTTTTCAAAAATATTTACATATATCTAAAGAGTGTGGCGTCCATTTGTATTCAGCCCTCTTTACTCTGATACTCCTAACTAACATATAGTGCACAGGTGTCAAACTGGTGGCCCTCCAGCTGTTGCCAAACTGCAAGTCTCATGAGGCATTGCAAGATTGACAGTTACAAGCATGACTCCTAAAGGCAGAGCCATGATGGGACTTGTAGTTTTGCAGCAGCTGGAGGGCCGCCAGTTTGACACCCCTGATCTAGTGGAAACAATTGCCTTTAAAAGTAATCTAATTAGTAAATAGTCCACCTGTGTACAATTTAATCTCAGTATAAATACAGCTGTTCTGTAAAGCCCTCCAGAGGTTTGTTGGAGAACATTAGTGAACAAACAGCATCATGAAGGCCAAGAAACCAGACAGGTTAGGGATAAAGTTGTGGAGAAGTTTAAAGCGGGGTCAAGTTTGTAAAAAATAAATATCCCAGGCTTTGAACATCTTGTGGAGCATTGTTCAATCCATTTGAAAATGGAAAGATTATGGCACAACTGCAAACCTACCAAGACATAGCCGTCCACCTAAACTGACAGGCTAGGCAAGGAGAGAAGCAGCCAAGAGGCCCATGGTAACTCTGGAGGAGCTGCAGAGATCCACAGCCCAGGTGGGAGAATCTGTCCACAGGACAACTATTAGTCGTGCACTCCACAAATCTGGCCTTTATGGAAGAGTGGCAAGAAGAAAGCCATTGTTGAAAGAAAGCCATAAGAAGTTCCATTTGCAGTTTACGAGAAGCCATGTGGGGGACACAGCAAATGTGGAAGAAGGTACTCTGGTCAGATGAGACCAAAATGGAACTTTTTGGCCTAAAAGCTATGTGTGGTGGAAAACTAACACTGCACATCACCCTGAACACACCATCCCCACCGTGAAACGTGGTGGCAGCATCATGTTGTATGTATGCTTTTCTTCAGCAGGGACAGAGAAGCTGGTCAGAGTTGATGGGAAGATGGATGGAGCCAAATACAGGACAGTCTTAGAAGAAAACCTGTTAGTCTGCAAAGGACTTGAGACTGGGGTGGAGGTTTACCACCTAGCAGAACAATGACCCCCTAAACATACAGCCAGAGCTACAATGGAATGGTTTAGATCAAAGTATATTCATGTGTTAGAATGGCCCAGTCAAAGTCCAGACCTAAATCCAATTGAAAATTGAGAATCTGTGGCAAGAGTTTAAAATTGCTGTTCACAGACGTTCTGCATCCAATCTAACAGAGCTTGAGATCTTTTGCAAAGAAGAATGGGTAAAAATTTCACTTCCTAGATGTGCAAAGCTGGCCTTCAAAAAGACTTGCAGCTGTAATTGCAGTGAAAGGTGGTTCTACAAAGTATTGACTCAAGGGGGCTGAATACAAATGCGCGCCTCACTTTCCAGATATTTATTTGTAAAACATTATGAAAACCATTTATCATTTTCCTTCCACTTCACAATTATGTTCCACTTTGTGTTGGTCTATCGCATAAAATCCCAATAAAATACATTTGTTTTTCATTGTAACATTACAAAATATGGAAAATTTCAAGGGGTATGAATACTTTTTCAAAGCATTGTACATCTAGAGAGCATTGGCCATTAGGGAACAAAATAGTGTGTGTTTTTCACTACATCATTACACATAGTTGTGGTTTTTCCCCCCCCTCCCCTTTAATGCACGTGGTACCTGAATTTGACTAGGTATCTGCCCCTTGTTGTCCCAGTACAGCAAACCTCGAGCTAGAAGAAGCTGCATAAAACGTCAGTTGTACTGCATTGCTCATGTGCCAACAAGGGACATACTGATGGGAAAAGAGTGCAAAGTGACAGATGAGCTCAGCAGTATGTTGATCCTCTTTATGCTGTCCAGTTACAGGCTTAGGAGGAGAAAGACTTGTAAGTGTTTAGGCTATCCATACACAAGAGCATGGATGAAGGAATGCCCCTTGCTAGCTAGCTATTGTATTCCAATACGGATTGGATGCAGTCACTGTTCAACTGATAAAATTTTCACCTGGCCCCCTTTTTGTCAAGCTAAGTGGTGCCCATAGGGCCACCAAGAACTCAAATTTTGGCTGATTCATCAGAAATCGGATGGAATTCAAGATGTGTATGGCCAGCTTTACTTAACTGCAGCGGAGAAGACAGACAGGGCTGTGTACAGTGTGACAAAGCCGTGGAATTTTTAGAACAGGATGGACAGAAATACAATTTCTTTTGCAGGGCAAACAGCCGCCTCATATATTTTCCATCTGTGTCAGGTTTTTGCCTCGAGTTCAGTTTTATTGCAATGTTTTACCTTTTACTTAAAAGCTATATATTTGCTGTTGTTACAGGTAGCTCCTGCGGGGGGCATTGCAGACAGCATCCCAGATGCTGGAACTGGTAACTGGAGAGGAATGCTGAAGGCCTCTAAAGGAGAAGATCCACTAGTAGAAGAGAGGAGCAGACTTGCACCCATCCTTCCAGCCAGCCCCCAAAGGGGCCACGCTGTGAACCTCCTGGATGTGGTGAGTGTGTATGCATGGAGGGAGCAGGGAGCTGTATAGAATAGCCGATTGATTGTTCTTGTGCACAAACTGGCAGTGTCCTTTAAGGTCAGTCCCTGATCTCAGCACTCCATACGTTGCTTTCAAAGTCATTGGCAATTATCATTTGTTGAGGGCCTCTCAGATGTCATCATTGTGCCAGCCAGGACTTCAGTTTCTACAGTCATGCTGAACCAAACCAGATAATAGTGTTCTGTGTTGATAAGGAAAGCCACAACCTCTACTCACAGTGAAATGTTTAGAAAGTTTATTTAGAAATGAAAAGCTACAAAGTAAAAGTAAAGATTATAAAGTAGAGTGATTAACACATGTGGAGATTATTAGGCTTCACGAATGTATTGGACCAGATCTCTTGATCAAAACTGGAGGCTTTTAAGCTCAAGTCCTGGACAGTTGTCGTATAGGACTATCCTAAACAAATCATTTACGGTTTAAATCATTTACTTGAGAATGATTAATTACAAGAATTTTGTTATTTCGGGACACGTTAGCAGCTTGACCAAGACCTAAACTCCCAAATACTTCCACAAGACATTCCAAGGGTACGAGGAACAGCAATTGTTTTCCAATAACATACTTTCTGCAACGTTATTCTAAAAATCAAACGTGTTATATTAAACCTAACATTAGCATATAAGTATTTGATAATCTCATGTAATTAGTAATGCATATAATTATTTTTCTTTATCAGTGCTATAACTATGTACTTTCTCTCCAGCCTGTGCCAGTTGCCAGAAAACTTTCTGCTCGTGAGCAGCGTGACTGCGAAGTGATTGAGCGACTAATAAAGTCCTACTTCCTGATCGTACGGAAGAACATTCAGGACAGGTAAGATGGTGGAGTAAATGGTTAACCTCACATTCATTCTTTTGATTCTGGGTGTCACTGAATACTAACAAGGTTCTCCTTACAGTGTGCCAAAAGCCGTGATGCACTTCTTGGTGAACCACGTGAAGGACACGTTACAGAGTGAGCTGGTGGGCCAGTTGTATAAATCCATGTTGCTGGAGGACCTACTTACAGAGTCTGAGGACATGGCACAGCGCAGGAAGGAAGCTGCAGACATGTTGAAGGTATTTTGGCTTTCTTTGTGTTGCCCGTACTGAAAGCCACACTACTACCGACTCTGTTTATATTGCACATTTATATTTGCATAAGCTGACAGTGTTCAAACCAATAGTTTAAGCCTAAGCCAAAGATCATGTGGTTTAACACATTTGCTCTGTGTCAGGCACCTGTAAGCTGTTCCACTGCCTGGATGTCCAGTGCTGTCTTCTTTCCAATTGACACATCCTGGTTCCACCTAATAGGTGAAATTTGCTTCTTAATGGTATCCTCTGCTGCAGAGGCAGTACCCCACCAAAAGCTAGCATAGACTTCAGGGGCGTAATTCTAACCTTCAGGGCCTCTGTACAAGAAACCATGAAAGGCCCGTTTGACCTGAGCCCAGGAGCCCTTTACAGTATTCCTCCTTACATTGGATTTCTCCGAGCCCCCTTTATATTACATCAGAGTCTGCAGGGTTCCTCCTTACACCGTAAGGGGGAACCCTGCTGACCATTATGTAAGGGGTATGCTGTTGATTTGGATGTAAGAGGTTCTCTGGTTTCCAGAACCCCCCCCTCCCCCACCCCCTTTCATCAGAGTTCCTCCTCACCTCAGAGTCCGCAAAGTTTCCTATTGCACTGACTCCAATGTAAGGGGTAATTCTGGGAGCTCTGATGTGGGGGGCTGGAATTTCTGGTGACCAGAGATCCTCTTATATCAGAGTTTCCCTTTACACCAGAGTCTGCAGAGTGAATACACTAAAGTAAAGGAGTACACTGAGGGGAGTGAGGACACTAATATAAGGGGGGACATTTATATCAGTGCCCCGCCCTCCCCCACCTTAGGGTCTCCACTCCTCCCCTGCATCAGTAATCCCCCCACAGAGTGACTGACAACCCCACAGACTCTGTGTGGCCTGAAGATGTTACACACTGACTTCCTGTAATTGTCTGCAGGCTTAGTCTTTTGGACTTCCTCTTCCCTCACAGCCCCTCCTTGCAGGTGCTTACAGATTTTCAGGAAAGGGTCCAAATGCCATGACATCACCACACACCTGACCAGCAGCCTGCTTCCCTGTGCCGAAGCCAAATACAGTAATTAATAAATGGCTGAGTTTGGGCACGGGGGGGGTGCGCAGTGACATCATGGTGTTGCAGATTTGAAAGCAACTGAGTGAAAATTTAATGGGAACTAGTCTTCTGTTTACAAATAGCAGAAAAGTGCCCTTTTTTTTTACAAATCATCTGTATGGATGGTTGGCAACATTACTTGGGGCCCCCCACAGTGGGGGAATGCCAGGGCCCGGTTGCAAGTTCGACCTTTGCGACCTTGGTAGTTCCACCACTGACGGACATTAATCTTAAACTAACTATAACCCCTAATTGAATGACATGCTTTAAACTGAAATGTCAAACAAAGCAATCAGCTTTAGCAGTTGTTTTTATGGACTAGAGAACCTCTCTCTCTATGCTATGGTGATGAGGATGGGGGAAGCTGTTCTATTGTCCTCTTAGGGAAGTGGAGGAGGAGGAAGTGTTCCTGGGAGGATCATCAGGTGAAAGTAATGGGGGGCGGGGGGTGCAATTCAAAGCCTGAAATAATGAAAACTAATGCAGGCACCACATCTAAAGACTGGTAAGCTGCAATATATTACATTTGTGTTCTGCATTTGTGTTGTGTTTGGTATGCACTTTAAATCCAGCTGTCTTTTCTGACAGATGAGGTAACACCCTGGAGTCATCCTGTATTTGGCTGGTGTTCTAATATCACATTCAGCTGAAGACCTAAAACATTCCTCCATACAGTTCACAGGCTGGTTGTTCCTTCTTTATATCTCCCTCTTTCTTTCATTAGGCACTTCAGAGAGCAAGCCAGATTATAGCTGAGATCAGGGAGACGCACCTCTGGTGACCAGAAGATGGAAGCACCAGGCACTTCACTTGAAAACCATAGAGGAACTGCCAGTTGTACACACGGTAGAAATTTATTTATATAAGAAATCCATATGTATGGGAGGATCGTGTCCAGGAGAGAACCTGCTGTACCAAGCAAGAAAAAAATCAAATAAAACAAATAACTTCCACACTTCACAAAATAAATATATGTCCAGCTATTAATCTCTTCTCCTCATTTCCTGTTGTGATTCAAGCTGACCAACCATTGTGACGTTGGAACAAGAGCATGCTGGGAAGTCTAGTGACTCACCTTTGCTCACATGAATATCTTTTTTAGGTGATGTGTTTTATACAGGACCTGTGCAGTTCTCTGGAGTAGTGTACATTTTTGTTTTATCATTTGATATTGCACTGACTGAAATATATTGACAAACATAAATATAATAATAAAAAAAAACTTCAGAATGTTTTGGAGGCGTTTCCACTTCAAGTTGTATATTTGTTTGGAACAGATATATTGTGACCAAAAAGGTCTGATGGCTTTCAAACTTTGCTGCCATTCTGTGAGCCGCGAATCAAGTGTATCCAATGTCTTTTTTTTTTTTTTCTATGGTAAGGCTTAGAATCCCTGTCAGATTTTTGTCACCTAAACTGAAAGCAAGGAAGAATCTAAACTTGAGTGGTCAGCAGAACCTGTTCTGAGGAAGGCTAAGAGATTTTTTTTTTTTCTTTGCTCTTCACAGAAACTAAAGAGAAATCTCGTCAATACTGTTGGCAAAAAATGAAATGCCCAGAGCAAATGGGGGTAGGGGTTTTTATTGGCCTAGTGTCCTCCTTCTGCAGATGGTAGTATGAACCTACAGTCAAGATTTAAATCTCTCTCCTGTGTCCTTCAATGAACAGAAGAGAAATGACCAAAGCTAGAAGCTTTAGCTAAACTTTAACTCCTTCCTGCTGGCTGCATGCATATATGTGGCCTCTCGGTGGATGGGCCTTGACAAGAACTGTGCAGTGAGCACGCTCCCGACACAGTTACTGGAGGCTAATGGAAAGCTTTCTGATCATGTGATCACTGTGACAGCCAATCACAGCAGTCACATGATCACAAACCCCACCCCACCTCCTGACATCCAAAACCCCATAAAGGGCCAGGAGGCACCAACTCCAAGTGGTTAACTGAACCAAGTTAAAATGGAGATAATTTTTTTTCAACTCTGTATTGGGGTCCCCATTATAATGTGCTCACAGAACCAGATGTGAGTCAAAATAGTCTGATCCCATAGACTGCTTTGTTGATTAACAAAATAACTGAATGCTGATTCACCTACACTTTGATGTGTGGTACCCTACACTCATTTGTATATTGCATACACAGATAAGGAAGGCCTGTGAATTAAAAGTCCATGTCAAGCCAAAACTTTAGTTTTGGATAGAATAAAGGAAGAGGTAGAACCTCCTTATTACCAATGAGATATCCTCTTACTTCCTATATAGATGATGGTGTCAGAGACACAGGAAGTCATTGAAAATCTCTCCAATAGACATACAATACCAAACATTTTTCGGGAGGCCCATTCATACCATGTTTTGCATTACTGCTTACCTACTATGTTAAAGCAGCCCATTCACTTGCAGCATTCATATGTGTGTGTTGTGGCGTTTCTTTTTATTATCAGGTGCATCTCAATAAATTAGAACACCATCAAAAAGTTTATTTTTTTTCACTAATGCAATTCAAAAAGTGATACTTGGATATTTTATATAGATTCATTACACACGGTGATATATTTCAAGCACTTCTTGCTTTTAATTTTGATGATTATGGCTTGCAGCTAGTGAAAACCCAAAATTCAGTGTCTCCTAAGATTAGAATATTACATAAGACTAACAAAATAGGGATTTTAATACAAAAATGTTGGCTCACTGAAAAGTATGTCCATGTACAGTATAGTATTCACTTAATACTTGGTCGGGGCTGATTTTGAATGAACTACTGCATCAATGCGGTGTGGCATGGAAACAATCAGCCTGTGGTACTGCTGTGGTTATGGAAGCCCAGGTCACTTTGATAGCGGCCTTCAGGTTGTCTGCATTGTTGGGTCTGGTGTCTCCTTCCTCTTGACAATATCCTGCAGATTCTCTGTGGGGTTTATGTCAGGCGAATTTGCTGGCCAATTAAACACAGGGATACCATGATCATTAAACCAGGTAGTGGTACTTTTGGCAGTGTGGGCAGGTGCCAAGTTCTGCTGGAAAATGAAATCAGCATCTCCATAAGGCTGGTCAGCAGAGGGAAGCATGAAGTGCTCTAGAATCTCCTGGTAGACGGCTGTGCTGACTTTGGACTTTATAAAACACAGTGGACCAACCTCAGCAGATGACATGGCTCCCCAAATCATCACGGACTGTGGAAACTTCACTCTGGCCTATGCAACTTGGATTCTGTGCCTCTCCACTCTTCCTCCTGACTCGGGTACTTTGATTTCCAAATGAAATGCAAAATTTACTTTCATCCGAAAAGAGGACTTTGGCGCACTGAGCAACAGTCCAGTCCTTTTTTCTCCTTAGCCCAGGTAAGACGCTTCTGATGCTTCTGAAATCTCTGGTTCAGGAGTGGCTTGGCACAAGGAATTGAACAGTTGTAGCCCATATCCTGGATACCTCTGTGTGTGGTGGCTCTTGAAGCACTGACACCAGCCATAGTCCACTCCTTGTGAATCTCCCTCTAATTCAAGGCTGCAGTTATTCATGTTGCTTGTGCACCTCTTTTTCTACCACGCTTTTTCCTTCCACTCAACTTTATATTAATATGCTTGGATACAGCACTCTGTGAACAGCCAGCTTGTTTAGCAATGACTTTTTGTGACTTGCCCTCCTTGTGGAGGGTGTCAATGACTGTCTTCTGGACAACATGTCAAGTCAGCAGTCTTCCCCATGATTGTTTAACCACTTGCTCTCCACCCTATAGCAGAAATACTGCCGGAGGGCTGCGCAAAATCACGTGTATATATACGTGATTTGCATTTCTGGGTAGGCAGTCAGTGGCGCCCTACCCACGCTGCTGTTGGCGGCTAGAGATGTCAATCACCGGGTCCAGGCCAGCACTCCGCGATCATCGGAGACAGCTGACATGGAAGAGACCTGTATAAACAACACAATTCTCTCTCCTGTCAGCATGGACATGCTGTTTTGTATCTACACAGCAGAGATATGAAACAACATGCCTCCCTAGTAAAACACAGCACATAGTAAAACGCACACAGTTAACCCTTTCATCGCCCCGGATGTTAGCCCCTTGCTGCCCAGTGCCATTAGTAGAATGTCAGTGCTTTTTATTAGCATTGACCACTGTATTAGTGTCACTGGGGATGTCAGTGGCAGTAGGTTCCAACCCAGTGTCAGAATGCCCGCCGCAGTCCCGCTATAAGTCGCTGATTGCCGCCATTGCTAGTATAAAAAAAATAGAAATTTCAATATATACACCACCATTTGTAAACCAATTAATGTACATGTATTGGGTGTTTTTTGTTTTTTTTTTTGCAAAGATACGTTTTTTTTTAATTGGATATGTTTTTATAGCAAAAAGTCAAAAAATTATATATATATATATATATATATATATATATATATATATATATTTTTTTTTTTTTTTTTTCTCCAAAATTGTTGGTCTTTTTTTGTTTATAGTGCAAAAAATAAACTCAGAGGTGATAAAGTACCACCAAAAGAAAGCTTTATTTGTGGAGCAAAAAAGAACATGCATTTCATTTATGTACAGCGTTGCATGACCGTGCAATTGTCAGTTAAAGTAACGCAACTCCATATCGCAAAAAGTGGCCTGGTCAGGAAGGGGAGTAAATCCTCTGGAGGGCAAGCGGTTAACCTACTGAGCCAGACTGAGAGACCATTTAATGGCTCAGGAAACCTCTACAGGTGTTTTGAGGTAATTAGCTGATTAGAATGTGACACCACGAGTCTACAATATTGAACTGTTTCACAATATTATAAGTTTCTGAGATACTGAATTTTGGGGTTTTCACTAGCTGTAAGCCATAATCCTCAAAATTAAAAGTAAGGCTGGCCATACACTATGCAATTTTCTGTCTAATTTCCTTTAGCTTTACCTTCTACTATGCAGTGAAAGGGCCTGCCTGATTGGATACAATTGAAAGTGTTGTTTAGGTCTGACCTCATATTAAATGGTTTTCGTTAAATCTAAAGCAAAAGTCTCAAGAAAATTGTATAATGTATGGCCAGCCTAAGAAATGCTTTAAATATTTCACTCTGTGTAATGAATCTATATATTAGGAGTTTTACTTTTTGAATTGAATTACTGAAATAACTAAGTTATTGAGATGCACCTGTACATGGGCATAGGGGTGGCATTAATGAATGGCAATGCAAACCTGTATTACCACAGGCAAAACTGCAAGAAGCATGCTAATAAAGGGGGAGAGGGGATCCAGGGAGGACAGAATATAAACAGACTAGATTTCAGATGTGAAGAGTGTTAAGAGGATTCTTCCCAGTAACACATAAAAACTGGCAGAGGTTCTAACTTTTCTGTTTGAATCAAATGAAAATGCTATACTGCATCATATGAAACCTTACATAAACGACATATATTTTGGATTATAAAAATCTGCATCCATTCTTTTGTTTTCAATGATCGATTACCTCATTTTTTTTTTTTTCTGCATCTTGAAATGTACTGTTTTCTTTGAGCTCTTTTTTCAGCATAACAGCAAATCTTGTACTGGCACACTCTTAATTCCTTGTCACTTCTAGTCAGCTTGCCACCAGGCTTTAGCCATTTTCTGTCACCTGACTGTTTGTGACATTAGGGTAAGATCCACAAACACTTAGGGGCAGCTGCATGATTAGCTGTGTTTTTGTTTCAGGAACATCAACTATTAAAATTTGTCCCCCTTCCAGAGGCGCTCTACGCTGTAATGTACCTCTGTTCTTGCCTCCTTCCTGGGGTGTCACCAGGGTTGTCATACAATAAAGGGACCT